GTTACAATCAGTGGGAGGTTATCATCTGGTGTAAAAGAAGGCGTTGATCAGAAATCACGTTTTATTCCACGAAAATCAGCCAAATCCACATTAATCTGGGTGCTAACTTTACTAGCATACTGTGCTAGCGATAGCAAGCCGGATGCTAACGCTTTAGTGCTGCTAATGCCCGTAAATCTAAAGTAAAGTTTGTCGACATTTTAGAGTGATATGAAGCTTACCGCTCTGCTGCTGTGTCCCAGTGCTGCCACATTCAGATGGAAATGACTCCTTTTAGATAGATGAAGCCCTCAGTACTTACTAGCCTGGAGACACGAACGAACGAACGAACCACGCGCGCGCGCACGCACGCACGCACGCACAAACAAACACAAACACACTACTTTTTCTTCTGTGTTTTTTTAGCAGTAGTGTCATCAGCTCCTGGGTTTAAATACTGCCACACCACCCTTCCTTAAAACGAGGAACAGTTTTGAGCTGTGTGTGGCTAAAATAACCAGACATTCTGCATTTTTCCAATAGGACTACAAAAAATCTTAGCGAGAAGAAAAAATGGCGGATTGGCTCTGTGTTTAGCCGAGGGCCATTACCATATTTGGTAGTTATCCTGACGAAATAAATTACTGATGTAATAGATAATGTGAAAAACTGAACGGGTGGACAAATATGCCCAAAACTTAATTATTAAATATCTAAATAGCAACTCCAGTGAATAATATAAGCCTTTTTGCTCACTTAGACACTTAAAATGTGAAACACACTGTGTTAATGGATAAAAAAGTGGGTTTTTCATGTTATATCTCCTTTAAAAGATCAGTCACACTGAGTTTAACATGCAGACTGAACGTGAAAACAGTCTTCACCCCTTTTTTCCTGCATTAGCTTCTGATAGCAAATGAACAGAAAAGCTCTTGGTCTAGAAAAGCCTGACAGATCTACGTCACACTGTCTTTAACATTCATGGACTCACCCATTTTGACTCACAACTGGAGGGCTGTTGTTGGGTTAGCGCCCAGGAACCAGCTCGACTAATAGAAGCTAATCATTAGCATTAGCAACTTCACCACACAGCAGAAGATGTTCGAGCTTGTGGTATTTGTGGAGATAAAACATCAACGTTGCAGAGTAAACAGAGTCAGTGGTAGAGTCGCGTTTCACGTTACTGTTGTCCAGTAAGAGCGAGATGTCCAAATATCAAGAAATAAGACTCCAAATCCTGTCGTCTTAAGCTGCTTTCATCCTGCTGGCTTCTATCACAGACCACACATATGTAGATGCCATGTGGACTATTTGTGCTGGTGTAGCAGCGAGCCGCCATGTTGAATGTTCCCATTCATCCCCAGTCATGGGCGTCGCACCCGTGGGGGATTCAACGCCCACACTTTTCCAGCCGTTTCGCTCACCTCCACACCAGTCTGGTTTCTCTACGTCGCACTCACTCTGTTTGCCTCATCTCCTTCTTCACCTCCTCTCCTGTTTCTCCTTAAACCCGACATCGGCTGTCGGGTTTAAGGAGAAACAGGAGAGGGAGGGAGGGAAGAGCTCGACTGAATTCATAATTTTACATCTTGACATTAGCTGTACAAACTCTGAGTTTGATAAAGTGAAGAACAACAATTTGCAGAGGTTTATAACAGGCGCGGCGCCAGGTTTTCATTTTTGGGTGGGCCACGGTAATTTTGGACGGACCTTAGTGTGTTTGTGTGTGTGTGTGTGTGTGTGTGTGTGTGTGTGTGTGTGTGTGTGTGTGTGTGTGTGTGTGTGTGTGTGTGTGTGTGTGTGTGTGTGTGTGTGTGTGTGTGTGTGTGTGTGTGTGTGTGTGTGTGTTTTCCACTTCAAACACTGGTCTAACCAACCAGACCAGCGTGTCCAGTAACATATTAATGTTACAATGAAACAGTTTCACTTCATGTAGGCTAGGAACATTTCACCTGCCGTGGCCCGACCGCTTCTGCTCCACATAAACTTTGTGCATGATCAAATGTCTCTACAGGAGCTTTCTGAGCTGAAGAGGCTATTCTGCCTCAGACTGGATGCGTCATGCGTCTCCATATTAGAGACGGGAACAAGCGCTGTTCAGCCAAAGTTTCATAATTTCATAAAAATAACATTTTTCTAAGTGACACATCCCTCAGAGAGACCGGCTTTCCAGACCGCTTCAGTGGGAGGAAATCTTACCGCATGTGCCGTGGTTCTGCTCTGCGCTGCAAACCCCTCTACAGATCGTGAGCTCACTGTCCACCGTGTGCGCTCCGATCCACGCTGAGCACAGTGTCCAGTAGGGCTGCAACAACGAATCGATAAATTCGATGAAAATCGATTACTAAAAGCGTTGGCAACGAATTGCGTCATCGATTCGTTGTGTTGCGCAACTCTTCCAAAAGCCCCCTCCCCTCCTGCCCGCCGTTGCGCGCAGACCGGTGGAGAGCCGGCAGGTGTTTGTAAGAGGAACATGGCAGAAGCAGCGAGACCCCAAAAAAGTAAAAACTTCTAAAGTTTGGGAGCATTTTCAGTTAAATCAGGCGAAGACATTCGTTACCTGCAACGTTTGTAGGTCAGACTTAGCATGGCACGGGGATACTACGGTGATGATGCAGCGTCTTAAACGCAAGCATGTCAGAATCATCAGCGAGGAAGGAGAGAGCTCGGTGTCCGGGTAAGTAAAAAACTTTTCAAAAGTGATTCACCCAAGCCCCGGATTATTACAGGCTAGACATGCCCTAAGCTCGTAAAAAAAGTCTATAAAATTGTAAGCGCGACGCTATTAGATAGGCGGGGGGGGGGAGACTCGCGCCGCTGCGAACCGGTTCCGCCGTCACATTCCCGCAGAAACTGGTTGATCACACCGGGACCAGACTGCTAACATGTGGCTTTACAACCTCGGTGTCCTCACAAGCGAAAACGCTTTTAAAAGGGAGGGAGGAGTCCTAACTGTTGCTGCAGGCCTGTTGTGTGCGTGTAGTTGTATACTGGTTAATATATTTTTGGGTTCAGTTGCTTTCATGTGTCCTAATGTGAGTCTATTTGGGATCATTGGAATGATCAGCAGCATCTCTTGATGTGACTTTAAGGCAGTTGCCCAGGGCATCATCACAAGGAGGATGGCATTCATTTACTTTTGTTTTATTTGGTATTTTTCAGTCATTTTTGGAAATAGTGATTAATTCACAGCCTATGTTTAATTTCATTTAAAAATTAGTTGTTTGACATCCCCAATTATAATAAATGTCTACAGATGAGATCAAACAAAACAGATGAGAATTGCCCTTAAAGAGCAAGTCACCCCCAAATAAACTTTTTTTTGCTGATAAACTAAATGAACAAGTGTCTAATCGTGCTGCAGACACGTGTCGTCAATAATTTGGCACTTCAGTATATCTTAGTTAAAATTTAAATATTCTGCCTAAAACTGGCAGTGTTGTGCCGTTGTCAGGTAAAAACTCTGCACTGTATTTTAATTTAAATCTGCCACCGCTATTGGCTAAGAAGTATGCTATGATGTAAACTGGTACATTATGATGTCACAATGCTGTCGTGAGCCTGAGTGTGTGTGTATTTGTTAGCGGCTCCGCCCTCTCGGTCTGCCAGGCAACAGCATGTGTTGCATTTTTCAAACATGAAGCGGGAGTGGAGTTAGACTCTGGTAGGGGTTGACTTGCTCTTTAAGCTGTTTAACTTTGACCAAGCATTTTAGGTCACAGATAGGTGTAGCTTAAGGTCTCTGTCTATACACCTTATAAGACAATTTAGGTGATGGCATGTTGGTTTTCTGCTATTGAACTGTTTTCTAATAATGTTGTGTTTAAGTGAAGGAAGGAAGGAGAAAAATAACGTTTCCCTAGCAGTTTTAAAAAATGTCCCTATGTAATCCGATTAATCGATTAATCGTGTCGAGACCCCATCCGATTAATCGATTATCCAAATAATCGTTTGTTGCAGCCCTAGTGTCCAGTATAAAGCTCTGACGTTCTGATGGGAATCATTTCTTGATTTAGTTACCTCTGCGATGTGCGTAAATGTCAGCTCATCCATGCGCATCAGTGTGCGTCGGGGTAATTCTTTCAAAACAACCAACATCCTTGAGTTTATCCGTCAAAATAAACAGTCAAATGGAAATATCTGTAACCTGCCATTTAACTGTTTTACCTTCTTGTGAAGATTGTTGCAAAGAGAAACAACTAAACCTGATTAACCCCAGAGCCGTGCGCACTGCGCTGTACTGACTGTAAATGAGGGGGACAACGATTTAATCGGATCCTTCTCTTACCTTTTCAACATGGTTTAATGTAAAGTTTCATTCAGTACAAACTTTAGTTACACCAATCTAACGAGACAGAGCCTGGATTTGTATTCTGAACAGTTTAAACATGTTTAAAACGGAGACGTGCGTGACGCGTCTAAAATTTGCACCTGCTCTGCTATTATGGAAATTAAACTAACAAGATGAATAACATGAACTTATTTTAGGCACAGACAACATCTCCCACACTTTTAAAAAGCTTGCAACGCGCCTGCCACCAGTGCATTTATTTCTACTGAGAAAGGTGTTTACCCAACTAACGTCAGACGTGATATGATAATGGATTAAATTGATATGGCGTGATAATAAAAATCTAAAGATAAAAAATCAAATAAATAAAAAAAGGCCAAAAAACCACAAAAGCAGTGTAAAGGCTAGAAACGTCAATAGTAATCCCACATGATCAGTTTTCAATCGTGCGCTAGTTGTTGCAACCAGAGGCTTCACAAAAATGGGCATAGTTTCTCGCTCTGCCCTGACTCCAGTTGGGTTTGGAGTGAGGAACCCACTCAAACTGGGCAGCAACGCTCTCCATGTATTCTTGTCTATGGCTTTTATATCCTCAAACAGGCGCACTGGAGTTGTCTTTCTCCAGAGAACGACTTACAAGACATTCATTCCTGCAAGAGAGCACAGCAAATATTAAAACTATGAGTGAAGTTGACCTATAAAACAGCTTTGTTTATATATGTGTCTGCAGTCATCTGTGTCCAGCACCGTTAGCCAGCAGGGTTTACTGAGGACGGCTCCTGTTGCAGTCTCCAGCCCCGCCCCCATCAAGGCTGTTTCATCCTCGGGACCCAAAACCAACTTGGCTGTGCTCAAAGCCACCGCTGCAGAGGCAGCTTCTTCCTCTGTCAATGATAATGAGGTGAAAGCATCTCAACTCTAACGCACCTCTGACTTCTTTTTTACTCCTAAAAGTATTTACATTTTTCCAAAAGTTCACACACGTTTACCAATTTCCTCTGTTTTGTACCTGTCAGCAGCTTTGGTCAGAAATGCGTCGTGGGCAGATGTTGCGGGAGGATCTGAGACAGCGCAGGATGCACCTGGAGTCATTGATGGCTGAACAGCAGAGGCGTAGTGGTCTCTGCGACTCACCGTGTCAGGCTGAAGACCAGGAGGACAATTCTGTACAGCCTCTCAACAGAGATGAAAGGTGGAGGACGTGCCTCCAAACAGCGGCTGTGAAACTTTTATAACTTTCCAGTTTATTTAGAAGTTTGAAAGGAGATAAATTGTTAGGAATGAACAACGGCAAAATTGTTAGATTTTTCAGTTTCTGTTTCTGTCTGGTGTCAATGCTGAGTGACAATCTTTCCTTTTTGTTTAGAACAATGGCCACCTGGGGTTCCAGTTCAGACCACCTTGATGATGACGATGAAAACGCTGATGATGAGTATCGCTCAGAAATCTGTGCTGAGGAGGAAGAGGAGCAGGAAGAGTGTACCGAGAGCAGCTCTGATGATGACGTGCATGTCTTCTCACCAGGCATGAACCAGTGTTCCCACTGTAACAGGAAGAACCAAGGAAGGTCTGACCACAGGTGGAGCCTCACACAGCTCAAATCTGTTACTTTACTTAAATTAATGAGCTCCTTTTTGTGCTTGTGTACCTTCAGCAATCTGAAGCCTCCAGCAGCCTTCTCAGGTGAGAGCTGTGACCACCTTCACAACAAGACTCAGGTGAAGCAGCAGTCCAGGCCCTCGAACCAGTCACCCAGCCAACATGGAAGCATACGTCGACAGGAGAACCTGCGCTGGCCTTCTGAGCTCTCCTTTGTTGATGGTACTCACCACTTCCAGGAGCAAATCAGCCAACTGCAGAAACAGCTGGACTTCAGCACCAGCATGTGTCAGACTCTCCTGCAGGACCAGCAGGTTTGCTTACTAACAAATCCACTCCTGTTAGCTTCGTTAGCATGTTTACAGGCTGGTCGGATTTCAAGGCCTCAGTAATAATCACAATGAGTTCAGGTTGTGTCCTGTCCCACAGCACAGGCACAGCATGAACTCCGATGAGTTCAGGCACCAGTTATTACTTAAACCCCCAACAGGGCCTGGGGGGTCAAACTGAAATTGTCCCCCTAGTGGCTGGTTCTAGCATAAGTTCAGATAAAAAGACCTCAGATACATTTTTAATTGTGGTTCTTACCTTGCTGCTAAACAATATTACCTTCTCTCGGCTCGTCAGTCATCCCTAAGCATTCTGGTTTTGAGAGGTGATTAGTTATTTATTCTTACCTGCTGATACCAATGTTGGCATAATCTGAGTAATCTCAAAGGACTACAAATAAGAAATGCCTGAACAGTTTGGATTAACTTGAAAGTTATGATTCTTAAAAACTTCTTGCTGGAAAATGTGCCCACGTAGGTGCATCTACCAGCAAAAGCTGTTCTAGGCTGGACTGGTGGGTCAGAAACAAAAGAGTCATATGTGCCTGCCTCCACAGACACTATCCTACATGCTGCAAACTCTCCTGACTGGTCAGAACAGTCTGTTACCCAACAACCTGTCATCCCCACAAGTCCAACTGGTCATGCATCAGCTGAACCAGTGCTACACCCAGCTGGCCTGGCAGCAAAATAACGTACAGAGGTAAAAGCTGTGGCATGACTAAGAATGTGTAACAGAATGCTTTCAGATGGTGCTTTTCCACCAGTTATCTGCTTGTTATTTCAGACTCAAGCAGGTCTTGAATGACCTGATCCACCAGCAGCAGTCTTCAGCAGCCGGCTGGCAGACCCAGAAGCGCGTCTCGGCTCACGAGTCCAGCCCCGGGCCCTCGGCGTCCCCTGGTGTCTTCCACCCGTACTCCTCTACTCTGCATCCCTCAGCTATCAACACGATGAGCCCTGCCTTGTCTCCATTCCCTCCCAGTACGATTATCTTATTGATTTAGAGTTTGACTTACCTTGTTTGAAAAATAACAGCAAGAAGAATAGAAAAAGTTTGTTGTTATTTTGAATTAAAAAAGCACGTGGATGACACACTTTATCTCAAGTTTATTACCTAAAGTTTGTTTTAATGAGTCTTGAGTTAATTCATTCTATTTTGCCTTACTCTTTGAAGGTTTTAACTTGCACACACCGTTCCCCACTGCGACAGGCGATTCCTTTCAGGGCGCGGCTGGTCCAGCTGCTCCAGAGTGTCAGAAGCTGCAGCTAGATCCCAACACGTCGGTTCAATTGGAGTACATGAGTTTCCCTCCGCCGCTGCAGCGCTCTCCTCTCAACACAGCGACAGAGAGAGGGTATGAAAAGCAAACATACGTTTGTTGCATCATTTTAACGCTATTTACACCCTTTTTCTTTCCTCTACTACGTCAGACCTGCTGTCCGACTTAACACTTCCTACACAAAGAACATAACTCGGCATCACGCGCCTAAAATGGAGCTTTCAGAGTCTCCCACTTCCTCTCCCGTTTTTGCCAAACGTCACTCAAGACAGAGAGCGTTTGACAAGGAGTCTCAGGGAAGCTTCAGCAGTATTCCTGACCCTGTTGATTCCACCACAGTCACAAAGGCTTTCAAGGCTGGGTGCAAAGCCTCGGCACAAGCCAACCTGGCCTCTCGGAGCAAGACTCCCAAGAATCGACGCCGCAGGAGCAAAGGCCACAAGAACATGGAAGGTACACAGCCTCTCAAATGGAATATAATCTCCATCTTTTTCGTTACTTGATGAATGATCGTTTGTTTATCCCCGGCTCCTCGTCAGGCCCCGACAGTGAAAGTGTGAGCAGCAGTGCAGACTTTGCCCAGGAGAGGGCAGCCATGTCTCATCACAGAGAGCAGAATCAGAGACTGTTGGAAAAACTGACTCAAGAAAAACTGGACAGCAAAGCAAAACTCGGGAACAAAAGAAACGACCTCTCCTCCGGTACAACTTAAACTCCTAGAGAAAATGATGTTCACGTCTGTTCTCTTCTTCAGTCTGTTCTGCAAATTCATGTTTTAATTTAATCCATTATCAAATTGTACCTCTCTTTTTAGTTAGTTCTTACTCTTCTTTTAATCATTTGTTTTTTAGCCTGTTTTCCATTACTGCCTCGTTCATTTTTCAAAGTTTCGGTTAATTTGTTACTTTGAATTTATCTTACTCACAGCCTATGCTTGGAGAACACCCTTCCTCTCTAACAGAATTGCATGCACAGAAGCACCAGGTAAAGTTTAACCCCACCTCCCTCTAACCACCGTCCATCATCCAATCAGGATGTCCACAGAGCCTTTCCCTGTGGGGCAGCTTGTCTTTGATCACATCACTATTTGCTTTACTGTTTAACTTTTCCCATCCTCATTTAAAGGCCCGCCCTAATCTCACATCGTGAAATCTGATTGCAGATGCGAGCAGCGACTTCTCGCTGTTCGAAGCACTGAGGGAGACCATTTACTCTGAGGTGGCCTCTTTGATTTCCCAGAACGAGTCGAGGCCTCACTTTCTCATCGAGCTCTTTCATGAGCTGCAGCTGCTCAACACGGACTATTTGAGACAGAGAGCTCTCTTTTGTCTGCAGGTGAGTCCAAAGTCTGAGTTACTCTCCTGCTGTTTGAGGTGTGATCTAGTTACTTTATGCTGAATTCAGATTTGAGGACATTTATGGTGTCCATGTGATCATAACCAGACACAATAAGGCAGCTGGGTTCCAGTTACAAACGGGGTTGTCACGGTGTGAAAATTAAACCTCACAGTTATTGTGACCAAAATTACCACGGTCTTCGGTATTATCGCGGTATTTTTTTTAACGTGCTACATTTTCACACAACTAAATAAACCCTATATCAGGAGAATATTGTCCTCGGTTTGTGTTCCAGTGAGCTTTGCAGATGTGGGGAAATGTCATCAGGCAGTAATCATTGTTAAATTCATAATTATTCTCGGAGAGAGACCAACTCTTATCTGCCCCTGGGAGCCCCGTAATGCATAGCGTCATTTCAACATGGCGGTGTCCGCGACACGGTTTATTTGCAGGTAGCGGCGCTGCGGCTGCTTTATATAGCGACTCGTTGCATTCTCTCTCAACTCAAATCCTCGGATCACGCATTTTAGCTAAAACGCTAACGTTAGCTTGCCTTGCGTTGACTGTAGAGTTGTGGGTGATGGTCACGCAGATGTATCATGAGATTTGAAGCGTTGCTGCCTTTCACAGACACTTTTTCTGCACGTGCTGCAAACAGGATAGCCGTCTTCTATCAACTGTCCCTCGGCATTCTTCAAATATCCAAAAGATGCCCGTACTTCCCACTTTGTCTTCTTTGAGGGATAAAAAATGTCCTGAGCGCTGCCGTCTCCTCCTTTGGCCATTATTTCAGCTTTAGCTTCAAGAAAGTTTTGGTTGTAAACAACAAAGCGCGCATGTGCCGCCGGCAACTTCAGCAGATGATACGGTGGCTGGTAAGGGTCACCGCGCCTACACCGCAGCCACGGTAAACCTACCGAGATAATATAGTTTTTAAAAACAAGACGGTTATTATTATTGTCCACGTTTTTACCGCTACACCGGTTACCGTGACAACCCTAGTTACAAACACAACATATCCTCCTGAGTCTTCCCTGTGTTTCCAACAGGACTTGGTGACGAAGCACCTGGCCATGAGGAGTGCAGCGGAGGAGCCGTTGCCCTCCCTCGGCCCTGCTGTGTGGACAGCAGGCTCTCAGTCTGAGCTGACACCCAGCCAGAGTCTGGTTACAAGTGATGAAGTGAGTTTTCCTTCCAGCTTGGCATTTTGACATTTTTATCTTTCTTTTCTCTTCTTGTTTTCGTCTCCATTATAAAGTCTGTCTCTGTGTCCCTATCATCCTCCCTCTTGTTTTAAAGCCATCTTTCATTAGTTTCTCCCTTAGCCTTGTCATCTTTTATCTTACTTTTCTTCTCTCTTGTCATCCTTTCGTGTTCCTTTATATTCAGATTTTAATTTTCCCTCCTCCTTTATTGTCTTTGAATTTCACATGACAGCAAAGGTCTCTCTCTCTGTCTCTCTCTCTCTCTGTCTCTCTCTGTCTCTCTCTGTCTCTGTCTCTCTCTCTCTCTGTCTCTCTCTCTCTCTGTCTCTCTCTCTCTGTCTCTCTCTCTCTCTGTCTCTCTCTCTCTCTCTGTCTCTCTCTCTCTCTCTCTCTCTGTCTCTCTCTGTCTCTCTCTCTGTCTCTCTCTCTCTGTTTCTCTCTCTCTGTTTCTCTCTCTGTCTCTCTCTGTCTCTCTCTCTGTCTCTCTCTCTCTGTTTCTCTCTCTCTCTCTCTCTCTCTGTCTCTCTCTGTCTCTCTCTCTGTCTCTCTCTCTCTGTTTCTCTCTCTCTGTTTCTCTCTCTCTGTTTCTCTCTCTCTCTTTCTCTCTCTGTCTCTCTCTCTCTGTCTCTCTCTCTCTCTGTCTCTCTCTCTGTCTCTCTCTCTCTCTGTTTCTCTCTGTCTCTCTTTCTCTCTCTGTCTCTCTCTCTCTCTCTCTGTCTCTCTCTCTCTCTCTGTCTCTCTCTCTCTCTCTCTCTCTGTCTCTCTCTGTCTCTCTCTCTCTCTGCCTCTCTCTGTCTCTCTCTGTCTCTCTGTCTCTCTGTCTCTGTCTCTCTCTCTCTGTCTCTCTCTTTCTCTCTGTCTCTCTGTCTCTCTGTCTCTGTCTCTCTGTCTCTCTCTCCCCCCTCCCTCCCTCCGTGTGTGTGTTGCTAGATTAGACAGGAGCTCTTTGTTCTGCTCCAAGGTCCCTAGAGTCGGTGCTAATTGGAAGCCAGGTCTTGAGGCGTCTAAATGTTGCTTGGGTTGAAGACGGCGAGTGAAATTGCTTCATTTAGCAAAGGAAATCACCATTTCCATGTCAGTCGAGGACAAACATGACCCCTGCTCTGTTTGAACCTGAAGCATAAAGCATTGTGCTCTTTTGCAGGAGGTGGTGGAGAAGAACTTGAGGCACGTTCAGGAGTTAAAGAGGAAGGGTGATACTGAATCTGTGGATAATGACAGCAACATGTCCACCTCCTCCATCCTGGAGCCTTTTGCCAACGATGACCTGGGTATAGTTGCACATGTTTGATAAGTGTGGGATGCTCAGTTGTTTTCAGACTCGTCTTGGAATTTGCTAAAGTGCTTTGCTCATTTGCTTTTTTCAGTGTTTTCAACATTTAAGTCGATAAATCAACCAGTTTATGCTGCAGGGCCTAAATAAATTCTACCCATCTTTATTTAACCCTTTAGTGTAAACTTGGTTGTTGCGGTTATCATTGCATTCTCCTCTCTTCCTTTTGGTCGGTTGGTTTCCAGTTTTCACACTCCTGTGTCTCCTCGCTCTCACGTCTGTGTTGCTCTGACAGGCAACACGGTGATTCATTTTGGCAATGTGGTGAGGATTAGGGAGTATGAGCGCATGAAGCTTAAAGCCGGGTTTAATCACTGCAACGCCAGCGCTGCAGGTGTGAACACTTCTGAGGCTTCAAACGCTGAACGTGCTTCTGCCAACCCCGCTGAACCGGTAGAAGGTACAAACCACACGATGCTGCTCGGATATGTGTGCAGAGACCTGATCAGGGCTTGGTGAAACAAACAAATGGATGAATTACTGATCCAAATGACATGATGTTTGCAGGAGCTGCAGCTGGAGATGTGCACTGCCCTCAGATCGACACCCAGCAGCTGGATCGTCAGATCAAAGCCATCATGACTGAAGTCATTCCCTTTCTTAAGGTAGAGCTGAACTTTTCATGCATCTGATTAGGTTCTCTTGAGCTATTCAACAAGTTGTTTCCTTCCACTGAATCAGGAGAACATGAACGAGGTGTGTTCCCACCAGCTGCTAACATCTGTGCGGCGCATGGTCCTCACTCTTACACAGCAAAATGATGACAGCAAGGAGTTTGTCCGCTTTTTCCACAAACAGCTGGGGGGCATTCTGCAGGTGGGATCTGTGCCCGAGGCCTTAAATTTGACCCTTACAGATTTGGGGAGATGAGACCTTTTTGTTCTTTTGTTCAGGAGTCTCTCAGTAAATTTGAGGGTCGTACTCTGAAGGACTGTGGCGAGGATCTGTTGGTGGAGATTTCAGAGATCCTCTTCAATGAGCTGGCCTTCTTTAAGCTCATGCAGGATCTGGACAGCAGCAGCTGTGGCAGCACCCCTGCTGCAAGACAAAGACACCAGACGGAAAAGCCCAGCAAGACGAATCACATTTCACAGGTTCTCTACTTTTCTCCTTTATTCCTTCATATCAATGATGTGAAATATTAATTAGTCTAAATTGAGTTTTCCTGCTTTTAGGAAAATGCAGAAGGTGGCACAGAGAAGTCGATTTCTCCAGCAACTGACGATGAAGATAAGGTGAGTCATTTTCACACTGATAGAGAAATCATTTATTACTATTCTAAGATCAATTTTAATCTTATAAAGTGATAAAAAATCATAATAAGATGAATTTATTACTATTACTAAAACACCTGTGAGGTGTGTTCTACATCAATGTTTCTCATTTCCTCAAGGACCAGGATGAAGCAGAGAAGGAGGGGAGCGCCACCATCCAGGAGCATTTCCTGCAGATGGAGTTGAAGAGCAGCGACGCCTCAGAAATGGAGGAGGAGGAAGACGAAGGGCAAAGTCAAGGAGCACCCCTGTCGATTAGTAAGAAAAAGTGTTTTCTTCTTCATTTTTTTCTACAAAAGGAAGAAAAACTGACTAAAAAATAGAAAACTGACATAGGTAAGCATCTGAAAATGGATGGATGATTTTTTTTTAAAAAGGGGTTAAAAAGACAAAATTAATGGTAACACTGTTCAATAAGGGTACTTCTAAGGCTTCCACGCGACCACCGGCTCCACTCTGCCTAGACAGGGTAGGAAGTGTTCACATTCACATAGACCAGATTTTTTATTACACCTTTATTTAACCAGATGAGTCAATTGAGAAGTCATTCTCATTTACAAAGACGATGTGGCCAAGAGGCAGCAGCAACAACAGACACATAGCTTTAGGGCTGCAGCTATCGAATATTTTTGTAATCGAGTACTCTATCGAATATTTTTTTCGATTAATCGAGTACTCTAATAAATTACCCTTTTGTATTTGTAAACCATTATATCAAATAGCATGTTATAATTATGAAAGACCTGTTAAAATGAGCAAGCAATTGCCAGTTATTCTTCAAGTTTTATTCAAAATTAGTTTTCAAAACTTCAGCACTTCAACTTTACTTCACAGTAAACAAATGGCTGTGCAAAAAATAAGTACACAACCTGAGCCGATTTTCCCCTCGTGCGAGAATCTGCTAGCCTGCAAGCCAGACAGAAACTAGGAGGATAACTGTTGAAGTAGCGCTGCGGGCGGCTGCGGCCCAAACAGAACCAGAACCGCTCACGGTGCATGTGCAAACAGCTCGCCGGCTGTTCCCTATTAACACACATCCGTTTTAATTTCAACACTTTTTTCTCACACAATAACAAGGATTGTCGAGAAAGCATGTTTGCCGTGGTTTTGTCAAATTATACTGATCACAAAACATTTATTTCTTTCGTTTTCCTCTCATAAATACCCATGTCCTCCTGCAGCAATCCCGAAGGACAACAAACATCAATAACACAATAAAAAGTCCTACGTTTTGTGTAAAAATGCTATTTTTTAGCACATTTTAAGTCCGACGTGTTGCTACCAGACGTACGGTGTGAGCTGAAACTGAGTGCTACAAACGAAAAAGTCGCACAGTGTTCGCAGAATATATAGAAATACAGGCTAAAAAGCATTATCTTGTAGAGGCTCCGAGTCCGCTTGCAGAAGTGACATTTACAGGTGCTGCAGCAGCATGGAGGATGTGGTGTTGTGGTAGGCTAAATCCATTTTACAGTATTTACACTGGAGTACGTTTTCCGCCTAACGACGTGAAAAATGGTCCCACATCTTGACATTTTCTGTCTTTTTCGCACTCCACCGGGGTCCATGTTGTCCGCCATGGCTTAAGAGAAAGTTAAGTTACATTCGCTACTCGCGTGTGCAGTCCAGTGGGCATGTGCGTCACTTATTTCAGTCCGGGTGAAACATGACCACGGGCGACTGCAAAGCCACGAATTAATTAAATATGAATTAAACGAATCCTCGAGGCAGAGAATTTGACTCGAGGATTTTATGTACTCGAATTATTCGAGGTACTCGAGGAATCGTTTCAGCCCTACATAGCTTTACATCAAAGTAAAACAGATAAGATACAAACATATAAAATCAAAATAACATAAAACAATTAGACATCAAGACAAAGGACTGTTCTCATAATATAATATGTACAAGCAATCAAAACATTTTCCAGCCCTCTTCCCAAGGCGGTCTGCTTCGGGCCGAACTGCTCCGACACACCTGCTGCTGACTGATTTGCTGTCTCAAATTCACACTTACCATCGGGGGAGCCTCTGACTGGCAGAATCAGCCAATGGGGGGCTTCCCGCATGTGCAATTCATCATCATTCTGGATGCTGTGGCGTTAACATGCCTCTAGTTCAAGTTCAAGTTTATTTATATAGCGCCAAATCACGACAAGAGTCGTCTCAAGGCACTTCACATAATAAACATTCCAATTCACAGTTCATTAAGCCAATCAGAAATAATGTTTCCTATATAAGGAACCCAGCAAATTGCATCAAGTCACTGACTAGTGTCAGTGACTTTACAGCAATCCTCATAATAAGCAAACATGCAGCGACAGTGGAGAGGAAAACTCCCTTTTAACAGGAAGAAACCTCCAGAGAATCCTGGCTCAGTATAAGCAGCCATCCTCCACGACTCACACACACACACACACACACACACACACACACACACACACACACACACACACACACACAGTGTCTCCAAAAGCAACGCTGTTCACCTTTCCGTGAGTCTTTAGCCCTGCCCGTGTGCTCGGAGATGCGCTCATGACCTCACTGATAAATTTGTGATAATTTTGGAGACTGCCCATATGCTCAGTCACATCCACCTTCCTAAAGATGTGTGCAACCAACCTGGCCAGGCTGGGGCCGACTGCGCGGCGTGGAGCCGGCGCTAGGGTGGGAGGGGTGACGGTGGCACAGGAGTTAAGTGCTCGCCCTGTAATCGGAAGGTTGCAGGTTTGAGCCCCGCTTAGTCTGTCGTTGTGTCCTTGGGCAAGACACTTAACCCACGTAGCCTGCTGGTGGTGGTCCGAGGGACCGGTGGCTCCAGTGCTCGGCAGCCTCGCCTCTGCCAGTGCGCCCCAGGGCAGCTGTGGCTACATCGTAGCTCATCCCCACCAGTGTGTGAATGTGTGTGTGAATGGGTGAATGACTGATTGTGTTGTAAAGTGCCTTGGGGGGTTCCAGGACTCTAGAAGGCGCTATATCAATACAGGCCATTCACCATTTAATGCAGTGGTTCCCAGCCTTTTTCCCAAGGGACCCCGTTTTTTACCAGTAACATTTTTGACGAGCCCCTCCCATTCTCTCTTCCAGTACAAACATTATTAAGAAATGATAAATAAACATTTTAATATGCTTTGATTCAATAGATAACAGTAATAGTAGGCTCCAGTACAGAACAAAGTCATTAACAAAACCAAACAGAGCATCATGTGCTTGACAGTTTGTATTACATTTCTGAACACATTGTTTCTTGTAAACACTGATAAATCAATCATTCCTTTCAATAAACGTTTGACACATAAAAAAATACACTGAGCAAAATGTACTTAAATGTGTATATTACTGTTTATACTAGATTATTTACTGTAAATGCTGTGATTAATCAACCAGTCCTATCTTAATGAACTTTTGACACTTGAAAATAAAACAGTGAGCTGAGCAAAATGTTCTTAAAAGTGTGTTACTTTTTCTGTACTAATTATTTCCTGTCTTAATATCAGTAAACTTTTCACTCATGAAAAAAATGTGAGCAAAATGTAGGCTATAAACAAGTAATAAATGAAGTTTTAACCCCTTAAAGTGGAGAGGTCCTGGAAACCCACTGAGAGGCTTTGGCGCCCCCTTGTGGGGGTCGGGACCCCCAGGTTAGGAACCACTGATTTAATGCATTGTTAAGCATTAATAAACAAAAGGATCCCTTTATTAATGTTTTGGGTAATGTTAACAGGTGTCCTTAAGGTTAGAAGGACAAAGGGCTTGGGGGTATCTGCTTAGCAGTGCATTACTTAATAATAGTTTATTACTTAATAATGCACCAAGTAATGTTAGTAAAGGGACCCTTATTGTAAAGTTTTAGCAAACATAGTTTCTAAAGCCAGACTTTGTACTTGTTTTTTGGAAGTTACTGCAGAAAAAAGGCTATTTGTTTTTCTTAGGACATACATTTGACTCTTAAATACATTTTCTGATTCTTGCGTGAGATCCTGACAAACTCTTCATTTGGTTGCTTGTCAGACCTTTCTAAGGCAGAGACCCAGGCTCTGACTGACTACGGTAGTGGGGAGGACGAGAATGACGAGGAGGAGATGGAGGAGTTTGAAGCCGGACCCGTAGACGTCCAAACATCCTTGCAGGTTTCTGCTGATGGACAAGTAGAGCAGAATATGGTCAGCCATATTCTTTTTAAAATGTTTTTCAATCAATCAAAGATACTTTATTAATCCCAGAGGGAAATTAGAGTTTCAGTACACACAATTCAGAGATCAGACATACATGGGCAAGACACATGACAAGAATTGGTGACTGTGGTCATTCGCAACCTGAGTCGCGCTACCTTAATAGAGATAAGAGGGTTACATGAGGATTGGTTCAGGTGGAGGGAAAAAAAGGCACTTCAGAGCGACTCTCGAGCAGGAGAGCAGCTTTGCTTTGCAAAAAAAAAACCCACCTCAGACAGATATGATTCAGACTTCAGACAACATAAGTGTCCGCTAGGAGGGGTGGTGGGTTGGGACTATCCCAGCTTCAGCTCCTGCAGCCACGATGAAGCAGCGCATGTCACCTCGGTGTGGATGGAGGGGGAGCATTTAGGGTTGGAGGGTTGCAGTGACCCTGGATGTTTCAGCGGCCTTCCCGCTGTCCCGCACAGGGTGGGAAAGGAGGCAGAGTTGAGTTGCCATAGCGACGGCACATTCCTCATATCTTCTGGGGGGGGGGGGGGGGGGGGGGGGTTTGTAGCCTTGCAGGCTCGAGGACGCCAGATTCCGATTAGAAATTGTTTTGGGGCCAGACAGATAATTTAATCTCTGTCTAACAGTCTGCTGGTCCTCTCCGAATCCTAATAGTAATGGACGTTAATCTATCCCAATCCGTGCCGATTTGTCCACTCTATCCTTAATGGCATCCATCTTTGTGCCAATGAATGAATCTCGGACAAAGTCCCAAGCTTACGATTCATCCCGACATTTATGTGAGTCTGTGAATTCACAGCGCGGTGCAAACCATCTCTGAGCACCGGGATCAGGCCAATATTCCTCGACAGCTCGTTAATTTTCCGGTAAGCCAGGTAGCCTCCAAGGCCAATGAGCAGGAAACCCGACACCAACACCACGAATATCCACAAATAACGTCACACCTTGCATTATTGAACACCCTCTTTCTTGTATGACTCATGCAGTTTTGCTCCCTTCACTTCCAGGCTACAAACAGCAGTGAAATTCGGGAGATAGAACCTGAGCAGAACTATAACGGTGAGCTCTACTCAAAACAAGCACTTTGCTGAAACTTAACTAGATATTAATCATTTTCAGAGTAATTTGTCTTGCAGAGATAAACAAGTCAGAGGAGGCTGTTGTGGATTCCACTTTGGAGGAGCATCCAGATGTGGAGCGCCAGAATCCTGAGGAGGACAGTGAATTAGAGGTGGCTGCTGCTACAGAGGAACCTCCTGCAGGGGGTCCAGATGTCCCTAAGGAGTCGGTGACTACTAGCAGCCCCGACACAGACTCGCCTGTTCTTGTCAGTGTGGATGTAAGAGCAGGTTGTTGATTCCTTCATTGATGTATTAGCGGAGGTCAGGTTTTTATGTTACTTTTATTGATGAAGGAGATGGGATCAGGAAACACGAGCCAAAGGTCTGATGAAGAAGACTTCGTCAAGGTGGATGACCTACCGCTGCAGCTGACAGTCATGTGTGAGGTGTGTAAAAGATCGGATGAACTCAGGACTTTAAAACCTGCATAAACTAGAGTTTAAGATGTGCTGTGTGATATTAGGAACAGCTCCAGAAGAGGATCGTGGAGGAGCAGCAGAATAATAACCTCTCTGTGGAGATCCTTAATGGGAACCCTGAGTTAGCCACAGGGCTGGTTGGAAACGCTCAGATGCTGAAGGAACCAGGTATGACCATCAAATAAGATCATTTTAGAGGAGATGTGTTTTAACACATCTGATTTTCCCTCTCTTCTCTTCTCTTCTCTTCTCCAGAGACCACTAGTGCCCAGATCGTGTAGAGGTCAACGCAGACCTGTTTTTAGTAACAGTATTTAGATCCTCAGTTATAACTGTTAATTTGTTTTATGCTGATTTTAAAAGAGCAAAGTTACTTGACAGTCACGGATTAGCTGTGGCAGTCAGATGCACAGACAAACTCTCAACCTTTAGTTGATTTTTGTTCATTTATGTGATTCCCTGATCCGGTTTGGGGTCGTTTTCTCCTGCTGCTGATGGACAGATAAGCCTCTGCCACCAAATCTCTTGTTCAAATCTGGCTTTGTCTTCTTAGTTGTAGGATTAGTTTGACACAGTTTTTAAAATGTTTTGTTTGTCTTTGCCTGGCCTCATTGTTGCTCATCTTATTTGCATTAGATTCCTCATTATAAAGAGATTACAGGAAGATGAATGTTCAGCCAGGAGGACCAAAAAGCCGCTGTTCCAGGAAATGTGTAAAATGTGTGGAGGGGTAATTATTCTCATGATGTAGTTCATAGCTCTTTCTAGAAGTTAAAAGCTTCTGTTCCTCAAAATATTCTCCTTGAACTCGTATCTTATTGTATTTTTCTGCTTTTCTTCTCATAATAAAACTGAAGTTAAGAAGAGTTTTGAGATGTTTTAATGGAACTTTTGGTAAATCTGCTCTACTGAGTTGGATCTGAAGTGAAAACTTGGAATTAAAAAGAGGAGGGGAATAAACTTGAAAATCATTTTATTCATTAAAATGTGAAAAATTAGTCAGTACAGAGGTACATTTGTTAGTGATCATTTGTGCATTTTACATAAACATGTAAGTTTGGATTCACTCAGTTCTCTCTAAGAACAAGAAAACATTTACAGGTTTGATGTCCATTTCCCTCATAGAGCAAAACCTTGGATTTAGTTTAGCCACCTCTTAAAAAGTGCCCGACTACACACAGTTAAAGTAACACTAAATAGTTGTTTAAACTTTAAGCTAGAACTTTAACATTGGTCTCATTTGACAGCCCTCTGCTGGCCAGATCCTGCACTTAGTTTTGTGGAGCAGGTAGGTGTTCTAGGGGGCGCTCTTTACCTGCTTTACAGCTGTTAGCTATTTTCTGTGCTGGTAACTAATAAAAGGCTAGCAATTCACTTTTTCAGTTTGCTAACCGTCCCTAAAAAATAACCACAAGAAAAAAAAGTTTTCTTTATTGTTGGCATCACGGAGCAGCCATTTTTGGAACAGGGATGTCTAAACTTTTCAAGATGAGGGCCAAAATCATTAAGTTCAAACTTTTCACGGGCCACAAAAATGTAGAAATAAAACATTTTTTTTCTGCTCAAAAAAGGCCTAAAATCGATATAGTAGTAAACATTTGAACTTAAAATATATGAATTTATCTTAACAGCCTCCGGCAGAGACTAAATTCCACAATTCTAAAAACGCTAGTGAGGTCCATGCAAAACCACTCAGAGGGCCGCAAATGAACCACAGGCCACACTTTGGACACACCCGTCTTAGGAGGTGAAGCAAAGAGCTAAAACCAGTGTGAACATCCACGCGACCTACACTTGTTTGAAGGAGCTAAAGGAGGCTAAAAGAAATCACGGGCTGATGGTGAAAGCCAGCTGGCTTTCTTGCTTCTGGACTTGTAAATAATAATATTATTTGTTCAATAGTGTGGATCTTTCAACTTAGTGGCTTATTTAGTATCAGCTGGCTCATGTTTGTGTTAGCCCATTATTAGCACTAGCTACAGCAGGCTGCTTCAGTTGTAATTTAACTTTTAACCAGTAGGGCGGAGGAGCAGGAAACGGTTTAGTGCTACTTTAAAGCTTAAAGGAGACATAACATGCTTTTAAGTTATTCCTTTTTACATCTAAATCCTTCAGTTGGGGTCTAAATACAGTGGAACTGCAGTTCTTTGGTCTGATTTCCTCATTATTGTTGCTCTACAGACCCTCATCTACCCCTGTTCTGAGGAGAGTCTTGAGAACGAGCCGTTTTTGGGTACTGTCTCTTTAAACTGGAGGAGGAGCTGTAAATTCCGCCCCCCTCCATAGTGCAGACCTGTACTCTCCTCCCCCAGTCGGACTTTGTAGTTCTATAGAGAAATCATTATTTAGCATAGCAGAAACATTATATTAGCATTTTTAAAACATGTGGGGAGAGTTGTTCATCAGGCTGTTTCAAGGCTGTTAACTCACTCATGTATTTGTCTGTAGTCACTCACACACACCCGTCACGGCTGACGGAGGGACAAGCGAGCAGGCACGTGCGCACACACACACGCGCACACACACACACACACACACACACACACACACACACACACACACACACACAAGGAGTGCTGCTACCTTATTTATTTCTATAAAAAAAGTTTTAAAAAATGATACAACTCATTAAAACACCATTAAAAGAATATATTTTATTACGATATCTATCTATCTATATAAATAATTTTAGCACAAGCGAGCAGGCACACGCGCGCACACACACACAAGGAATGCTGCTTGCTTATTTATTTCTATAAAAAATTATACAGCTCATTAAAACACCATTAAAAGAATATATTTTATTAAGATCTCTATCTATATATATACATACATACATATAATTATAAATAATTTTATAAGTAGTCTTATTTTATATTGGGTGTCTTAATGGCTGAAAATGGATAAAAAGCAGTTACATTTTAATTTAAATATTTGAGATTCTAGTCAAAAATAAAGAACATATCTCCAAATGTTCTTTAATGTGATCATTATAATTCTAATGCTTACAACTTTGTTTTTATTGTCTGCAATGTGTAGCCTATATCTTTATTAAATATGTGTTTAGCTGTAAAGTGGTAATTCTCTCTAATGTGTACACAGAGGTGGACATCAGTGCTGCAGTGAAATTCCCAAGATCAGTCTACTTTGCTAACAAATATAGTTAAATCTTACCTGCATTCTAAATAAATACCATTAGGTGAAAACATCAGTAGGCATCGAGTTATTGATACAATCCCTAACAGCCAGAATGGAAGAAGAGCATGCTGGGTCATCCTGGATCTGAGCCTGTTCTGTGTATTTACCTACAGGATGCAATAAATGTCTACAAGGCTGAGTTTGGACCATTACATCTAAAAGAAAACATACAATCAGTGATTTTTTTAAATTGTTTACATTAATATACAAATTTTCTAAGTATTAACCTCACAGCAAATAAGTAGAACAATATAATAAACAGGCTTTAGTAGTTAAACAGGCGTTGTGCACACAGGTCCTTTGGGTCCCGGTGCTGGTGGTGTTCCTGTCCTCCTGCCGTCTTCTGTTGTCCTCAGGATAGGAACTGATGTTTCCTGATGATGAGGGAGGGGCAGTATGTGGGCTTCAAACTGGTCCTGGATAACAGTGGGAGACCTCCGTTGTCTGAGTACTGAGACCAGAGGGTTGGTGAGATGCTGATCTTCTCTACCTCATCTAGAAATGGAGTTGGTTCAGGGAAAACTTTTCCAAAGACCAGTTCCATGATGTCATCGCCATATTCTGCAATGATAGACAATAACTTTAATGACATATTTTGTTTACAAGCAGCTTTAGGAAAGTTGTTTCTTTAGCTTTCATGTTTATAGTCACGTTTGTGTTGTTTTGGTTTACTTTGTTTACAAGTAACATGTAGTACATGGAGTGCGTTTACATGCAGCCAGTAACCCTTTTAAAACCCGAATATTCACAATAACCCGGTTCCGCAGGTCCATGTAAACACCGCCAAAAACCCGGATATGCTCATAACAGGGTTTTTAAAAACCCGGTTACTACACCTGGGGTAACCCTTTTCTAACCCGAATGTTTGGTCGTGTAAACGCATACCGGGATATCCCCATCAATGCGTGTGTTCTGCGCATGCTCTGTTCGCAAGGAATCTTGGTCTTTTGAGTAGCGAGACGTCTTGTATGCGCCAGAACACCGGAAGTAAACAAGTTGGGAGCAACATGGCGAGTCGCGGCACAGCACCACACTTTTGGAGTGACGAGGAAACCTCTGTCTTCATCGGTCTGGTGAAAAGTATAAACATTATGTCTTTTGTTGACAGCTGAAAGTACAGAGACAGCGAAATATGACGCATATTGCGTCTTGACGTAGTCCATACGTCCTGACGCTACCCCAACGTCCGCATTTAAATCGGGTTATGCAAGTTAGGGGTAACTCTTTCTATTTATGCTCGTAAATGGGTTATTCTGATCAACTAAGAAACCCGAATGCCGACCTTAACCCGATCATAACCCGGATATTGGCTGCATGTAAACGTAGTCATGGACCTGCGGAACCGGGTAATTGTGAATATTCGGGTTTTAAAAGGGTTACTGGCTGCATGTAAACACATTCACTGATGAGGGTGGCTGAGGTGTGTCGTCACTCACTTTGGTCTGGTCCAGACCGTCTCTTTACTGGTGGGTCTCCTTCCTCAGTAGGTGACATGAAGCTCCAACATCTGAACGTTCTGTGTTCCTTAGAGGAGAAGAAAAGTAACATTAGCAAGCTGGCTAAATTATTTTTTACTAGCATTTCAAGGTCTTGAAGCAGATCTTCACTTACCTAAACATCAAACCAGTTTGTCCCAGCTGAGCTCATCAGGGCTTTAGTCTGACAGCCTGTCAGTGAAACACGGCTCCAGCCTTCTGGATGTGGACTCTAAAAAGCAAAGGAGCATTTTTACTTTGTTTTAATTATTTTACAGCTGATTTTATCAGCTTTCCGACGCTCACGCTCATACAGACGGTGAGCTTTGCTGCGTCTGACTGATGCAGAGTTAGTTTTTATATCTGCAGTGAGACAAAAAACTAACCTCACTCCACTCAGAGATCGTTCTTTAAAACTCTATTAAATCCACTGTGTTGACGCACTTTAATGACTTTGTCACGCTGCATTTTAGCTGATATGGGACTTTATTTACTGGATGCTAAGATTACATCACACTCACGTAGAATAACACACAGGCTCTCTGCTGCTACAGTCAGTGGGAGGTCATCTTCTGGTGTAAAAAAAAAAGGCATTGATCAGAAATCCCAGATCATGTTTTATTCCACGAAAATCGGCCAAATCCACATTAATCTGGGTGCTAACTTTACTAGCATACTGTGCTAGCGATAGCAAGCCGGATGCTAACGCTTTAGTGCTGCTAATGCCCGTAAATCTAAAGTAAAGTTTGTCGACATTTTAGAGTGATATGAAGCTTACCGCTCTGCTGCTGTGTCCCGGTGCTGCCACATTCAGATGGAAATGACTCCTTTTAGATAGATGAAGCCCTCGGTACTTACTAGCCTGGGAGACACGAACGAACGCACGCGCGCTCACACACAGAAACACACTACTTTTTTCTTCTGTATTTATTTTTTTTTTTTTAGCAGTTGTGTCATCAGCTTCTGGGGTTTAAATACTGCCACACCACCCTTCCTTAAAACGAGGAACAGTTTTGAGCTGTGTGTGGCTAAAATAACCAGACATTCTGCATTTTTCCAATAGGACTACAAAAAATCTTAGCGAGAAAAAAAATAGCGGATTGGCTCTGTGTTTAGCCGAGGGCCATGACCATATTTGGTAGTTATCCTGACGAAATAAATTACTGATGTAATAGATAATTTGAAAAACTGAACAGGTGGACAAATATGCCCAAAACTTAATTATTAAATATCTAAATAGCAACTCCAGTGAATAATATAAGCCTTTTTGCTCACTTAGACACTTAAAATGTGAAACACACTGTTAATGGATAAAAAAAAGTGAGTTTTTCATGTTATGTCTCCTCTAAATCAGATGACGTTAGTGCTTAACCCTCCCACTCTCTTAATAGTTGTGACCCCGCGAGGAAAGTTGACCATTGAGTAGGGTTGATTGTTAATCCATTGGGTCCATGTGGCAGGGGTGAGGAGTGAGCACCGCCTCACCCCTGCCACATGGACCTCAAGGCATAAACTATCAATCCTGCTCAATGGTCAACTTTCCTCGTGGGGTCACCCATAAAGACAGTGGGAAGGTTAAAACAGCAATTCTGCTCAGTAAATCTATATGGAAACCATTGTAAAGCCTGACATTTTGTGCAAAGATCCCCAAACTGATCAGGAATCAGAGGATCACCAAGGCATGCATGGGCTTGGACAGTCCCGGATGTAAGACTCCAGTTTGCCCTCTGACACTTGCATCAGAGCCGTGTATGTGGTCAGCTGAAACGACAGTTTAAAAGTATTTAAATGTTTCACCAGATCCAACCAGAGTTGATTAGAATAGTAAAAGCAAACAAGAAAAGGCTAACCTTGTTCAACACGGGTTTAGTCGAGAGCACGTCGTACAGCGTATTCACAGAGATTCTCTGGGGAAAAAAGGCAACAGATCAAAGGTAAAGAACCAGATTTTTTTTTTGTTAGACTTCAAAGCTAAAATGTCCTTTGGAGAGAAATTCAGTCCATGGGTACTTACTGCCTGTGTGGTCTGGTTCATACACTTCATGGCAGGAGTCCTCCGGTCATCCAGGAAAAACGGATCCTTCCAGTGGTCGTAGTTTGTCTCCAGGACGTACCAACGACCCAGTTTCACATCAATCCTGAGTGCAAGGAGTTAGTAAAAAAAAAACCAACTTAGAGCGTGACCGCTAGCCACACTCAAACACGTTTCCCAACTTAAATCAGGTGATCTGAAACCATCGACGTCACAAGCAGCTTGTTATGTAAGTTTCACAAGAAAAACGAGTCAGAGACTCATGACTCACTTCTTCATTACTTTTCTTTTTCGTTGTGGTTTAGCAGGAACAACTTACAGGTAGTCTCAAAAATATAAAACTATTCTGAATTAAATTCAGTGTGAACAAAACCCTTCGGTACTCACTCCAACACATCGATGCTGTGCTGCCTGGAGCGGGTGATGATGCAACCCTGCCCCCTCTGGTTTCCTCCGAGGATGAAGTAAGCTGGAGCGAGCATCTTCGTCTCGGCCAGTTGCCTTTTGGCTTCCTCATAGCTATCGAGGAACAATATAAAACTCATTTAGCTTCATGAAGAAATATTCAGCTTCAACTTTCAAATCAAGTTTAATTCTTGTGTTTTCAATTAATCTCTATTTTAGTACATCTAGTACATTCAAATGCTTGTAATTGCTGTCAGAATTCGATGCTTTAACATCCTATTTAATGCCGTAACGTTAGCTCTACATGTGCATTACAAACGTTAAACATGGGTACCTGTTCGCATTCTCCAAGACAGATCGAGTGAGAAAGCTCATCCACATCCCGTCTCTCTGTCCCATGATCCACTCCAGGATTCCTGTGTGTGAACACGTTAACATCGTGGCATTTCACATTCCGTTTGTGAAAACTGTTCCAAACTCACCGATGTGTCCTCCATTATGAGGGAAGCGCCCGTTCATGGTCAGGGTGAAGGTGTGCTGGCAGAGAGAACAAGCAGATGCTTTTAAATCCTTCTGAGAGAAATAACTCCATGTTTTATTCGGACTGAGTCTCCAGTTAGGATATTAAATCACTCACAGGCTTGATACCAGTCAGCATGCCAACGTAGCCAGCAAAGTTAGTGGACTTAAAAACCGTCTGGCTGTTCTTTCTGAAGTCTAGGTTGACCACTAGAGGCTTTAGCTTCTCACTGATGATCCACGACTTGTCTTTCACATCCCAGCTGCAAAAAGGACCAGATCTAATACACACCAGAGCCAAGACTCGGCTTAAATATACAAGAGTGTGGAAACTTTTGCGTTCTTACCCCATAAACAGCCCAAAATCTAGATTTCTGCCATGAAGGAGGTTACCTGTTGAATCCCCAAAAGATTTAAGAATTTGTGATATTATTCAGTTTCTTGAATAAACTTCAGCTTTCAGACTCACCTTTCTTATCTTCTGCTACAACAGAGGTGCACAAAATGGATACCTCATAGAAGATGTTAAACAACACCACTTCACCTAAATTATTACAATAAAAATGAGCAGAGGTTAGTATGGTGACGAGGTTGGGGTTAGGTTGGGGTGACGGTGGCACAGGAGTTAAGTGCTTGCCCCGTAATCGGAAGGTTCAAGCTTCGCTTAGTCTGTCGCTGTTGTTGAGGTTCTGCCCTCATGAGAAAATTACTACGCAGTATTTGCGCCAAAAAAAACTGTCATCTGCGCCCTGAAGCAGACAATAAAAATCAGCGCCAGCAGGGACTTCATCTCCCATGATCCTCTGCAGCTGGCAGCAGCTTAATGATGTCATCAAGCGACGCCAACCCCAGCTGTTACAGACCGCCCGCTGGAGGGTCTATGGCTGTGTCCGAATCCAGGGGTAGGATGCTTGTGAGTGCGCATTTTGAGGTCGATGACGTCAAAGCGCAGCGACGAGTACTGTCCGAATTCCAAGAATCCTCATTCTCGCGTCCTCAAACGCGTCCTCGCTCCACCCACATTTCGAGGATGGGTCTGATGGATCCTCACAGGAGCAAGGGTATCCCAGCATGCTTTGCGCGCCGGCCGCTGGACTCGACACTCGCAACAACGACGGACGGAGCGGGACAGCAGTGCAGCTTAAAATGTAAGTTAGTTTAAAAAATAGCGGTCAAAAAAATAAAATACGTGTTTGGGCACTTTTGGTTTGTTTTTTATATAAGATCTAATACCGCAAATTGCTTTTTTTCATGTAATTTAAGGCTAAACCATGCCCCACCGAAAACCAGCTTGAGTGTTTAATAGGAAAAAACCCACCGTAAACTAGCTTGATCCCAGCAGGCTTTTTAAAAGAAAATAGCGGTAGAAAACTGAGCTGAAAGCGGTTCTGTTTATAGACATTTTTCGTTTGTATAAGTACATTTTAAGCAGAAATCAGCGAGAACGAGCTTGTATGGTGGTCCCGTCATAATTCCCGTGTGTGTGTGTTTATTTAGCGAATAAAGCTTCTCATCATTTGTTTTAAGGTTAACACCCCACCGTAAACTTGCTTGAAAGTCTAATAGGAAAAAACTCACCGTAAAAGAGCTTGCATCTTATGTAATCATGTAACGAACGCCAAAAATAACGAAAACTAAGTTTAATGTTTATTTAAGTTAATTTTTAAGAAACAACATTACTGATTTAATGTTTTTAATTTCATTTTAGGCGGAAAAAAACACAGAACACAATTTTCATCTCCCATGTTGATAAATTAAAATATTGTTTATTGCATGTTTTATCAACTATGATTTATAATCTGACTTTGTTCTTCTATTCCTCTCCATTCTCATCCAGAACCAGTACCTTTAAGGAGCATCTGTAATTTCATTATGCCCACAGTGTTCTCTGTTGTTAAATGACAATAAAGCCTTGTAATTCCAATTCCCTTTGTCTGCAGGACTGCAAGTATCCAGGGTCAGGAGAGGGAGTCAGCGGAAAGCCCACTGCTGAAACCTGGCCCTGGTTTGTCCCCATGGACGAGGTGTTGGGACAGAGGCCTTCCACTATGCCTCCTGTCCTTATTGCTTCCATTCCCGAGGACACTCCAGGGCCAAGTGCAGCAGTGGGTGAGACAGAGGACAGGGAGAGTGGTGGAAGGAAGCCGGACTCCTCATCAGGGAGAAAGGAGAAGGGCTGATGAGCTCCTTGACCTGATCAGGGAGGACATGAGACAACAGAGGGAAGCGGAGGAGAGGAGAGAAGGAAGGATGGACAGATTTTTAGCATTGATGGAAAGGATGGCAGAGAAATTGTTTTTTTTTTCTTTTAGTTTCTTCTGGTTCAGGTTCTATATATGTGTTTGAATGTTTTTGTTATTTGTTTAAATGTAATAAAATTTCTATTAATTGATAACTCTTTTTTGATCATTAACAGTTTTATTATTCAGTTTTAACAAGTAACAACATAGTGAATAAATTGTAAGGGAACACTAAGGAATAAAAGTAAAGATAAAAGTAAAATATATACAGTAAACTTGGAAAGCAGGGAGTCTTTGGTGTTGTTGCTAAATCTACTAAACATGGATCGAGGTGGATGGAGTGCAGGAACCGAGATCCGTGGCTGAACGTTTCGGGTTGGCAAGTGGAACATCAGACAGAGTGGTCTGCAGAGGGTGCTTCTGGATGCGTCATCTCACTGACCACTGCATCGTCCATCAAAAGGGTTTGCTGGGCTGGCTCAATCGACGGCTGTCACGTCACTAACATTCAGATATATGCAAAAAAGGAGATCATGAGTATAATACTTGTAACTCTAGCAGATAACAGGACTAAATGATTTTTAAACTTTAAATACAAAGGCCGGTGACGTTTATTGAGCCGTCGCAGCTCCTCAAAAACCACAAATAAAATGAAATATTGCTGTGGATCCATTTTCAACGTCGCTACTAGCTTGTTAGCCTGTTTGCCGCCGTCACGGTAGCTAGGCAACTTGACCTGGGGGCGGGAATAAAAACGAGGCTAGTACTGTCCGAATTCAGAGCCGCTGACTTCCGGTTTTAGCGGTCTTGCAAGGACCCGGCCCTGCTAGACCGGCGAGGACCCGTACTCACAAGCATCCTACCTCTGGATTCGGACACAGCCATAGGCTGTGAATTAGGATTCTTGGAATTCGGACAGTACTCGTCGCTGCGCTTTGACGTCATCGACCTCAAAATGCGCTCTTACAAGCATCCTACCTCTGGATTCGGACACAGCCTGTAAGACGAAGCACAGAGCGGAAATCGCTGTCTTTTGTCCAGGATTTTCATCTGGTTTGGAGAGACGCTGACTTTGCTTCTACCAAGGCACGAGGTCTGACTGCTGGAAGCAACGAAAACGCCATCTGGTCCGTTTGAACACAGAGGGACGCTTCGGGTTTGCTCAGACAAGATTTTCTTTTTTTTTTTTCCTCTCCCTTTCTCTACCGATTTCTCTTATAGTCCAGAACAAGCGGTATTAAGAGACGGTTTCTCTCTTTTCCGTACCAAAACACCATCGGACATCTCAAACTAAGGTCCTTTTTCTATTGTTAATATCTGAGTTTGTTCATGCTGTGGCCAGGCTGACAGACTGTTTTAGATATTCAATTTGCCTTTGATTGATCTGTTGTTTTGTTTTTCTTGAACTTTGTGAAGTGATTTGAAGTGTTTTTGATTAAGTTACTGTGAAAGCTTGCCACATCACTGTTGGACGTTTGCTTAGACCCACTGATTGTGCGTGTTGGGAAGACAAGCTGAACTACACACACACACACACACACACACACACACACACACACACACACACACACACACACACACACACACACACACACAGAGAGAGAGAGAGAGAGAGAGAGAGAGAGAGAGAGAGAGAGAGGAGAGAGAGAGAGAGAGAGAGAGAGAGAGAGAGAGGAGAGAGAAGAGAGAGAGAGAGAGAGAGAGAGAGAGAGGAGAGAGAGAGAGAGAGAGAGAGAGAGAGAGAGAGAGAGAGAGAGAGAGAGAGAGAGAGAGAGAGAGAGAGAGAGAGAGAGAGAGAGAGAGAGAGAGAGAGAGAGAGAGAGAGAGAGAGAGAGAGAGAGAGAGAGAGAGAGAGAGATGATCCTCTGGTCAGCAGAACAAAGGATCAGCCATTTTGTTTTCAAAACTCCCTCCATTTTGGTAACCAACCTATCACTACCTCATTACTTCATGTTACCCCACCTATCGGATTAGATTATCACGTCACATTATCATTTCATTGTTTCATTGCTTGTTGTTTGTTGATAAAATCGGTTGGTTGATATTGATTGGCTAAACGCTTTGGGAGGAGCTGAAGTGGTCATATTAGTTAATAAATGTTATTGCCAATTAAGTTTTGTCTCAAGTAAATTTGTCTGTGCTGGATGAAACAGGACTGCTGCTCGTTAAACAAATTTTACGAACTTTAGACAGATTGATAGAGGTTTGGATCCATTTTTCCCAGATAAAGGGGGTGGTGCCCCGAGGATATCCACTGATATCCTAATTACGTAATAAATCAGTAAATATTTCCATATTTACGAATTTTATTGATGAATCCAAAAAGTAAGTAAAGCTTACAAATTATTTGTTGGCTAATACCCGCAACACTGTCGTTGTGTCCTTGGGCAAGGCACTTAACCCAAGTTGCCTGCTGGTGGTGGTCGGAGGGACTGGTGGCGCCAGTGCTCGGCAGCCTTGCCTCTGTCAGTGGGCCCCAGGGCAGCTGTGGCTACATTGTAGCTCATCCCCACCAGTGTGTGAATGTGTGTGTGAATGGGTGAATGACTGATTGTGTTGTAAAGCGCCTTGAGGGGTTCCAGGACTCTAGAAGGTGCTATATCAAATACAGGCCATGGTGAGTGAACAGCTGATTTTTAATTATAAGTAAATGTTTCCTTACCAAGAGGAACCCCTGAAACCTCAGCTATTCCTTTGATCTCCTCACCAAACGGACTTGGTAGTGTGTTCGCCATCAAAGGCTGTAAATAATGAGAGCACAGCCATGAAACCTTTGATATACAGCTTTCATTCAGAGGTGGAGGTCACTCACCAGTGTAATATCAACCAGCTCTATCAGCTTCCCGCTGGGCACAAAAGCATTTGCCAGATTTCGGACGGCTTGAATCAAGCTGATCAGCTGGAACATAAGGAACTCGTGAGTAACTCCAGACCTACCAGCTCTAACTACTGGTCCTCTGCATCATTCTTACATCTTGTTTTTTCTCAGTGATCACAGCCGTCCATCTCTTGCTGGGCGGCAAGTCGAGGTCCACCGTGTACCAGCTGACGGGTCCTCTGAACCTGTAGTGGAAAGAGCGACGTTTGCTGCTGTGGACACATTCACAGCTTCTATCACTTCATCTTAAACTGAACGTGTTTTGATGCAGAAATAATTCCTAAGTTATTCATGCCAGTAGAAATTAATTAGTGTTGAAAATGATGAAAATGCTCAGTTTTATTACATCACCTTAATGCAGTTGCTGACAGGCTATCAAAACTAAGGTATTAGTTGTAGAATCCAAGAAAAATAGGAAAATAATCCACAATTATCCTTTACAGACCGGCTTTTCAAGGGAAACAAACTAAAACATTTTTAAAGCAAAAGTGTTTTGATGAACTAAAAGGCATGATGTAAATTAACCAACGTGAGAAACAGCTAAAAGCAAATGTCTTTAAAATATATAATGGCACATGGCAGGCCATTAGAAAAAAAATGTATGTACAGTGGGGCAAAAAAGTATTTAGTCAGCCACCGATTGTGCAATTTCTCCCACTTAAAATGATGACAGAGGTCAGTAATTTTCATCATAGGTACACTTCAACTGTGAGAGACAGAATGTGGGAAAAAAACATGAATTCACATGGCAGGATTTTTAAAGAATTTATTTGTAAATCAGGGTGGAAAATAAGTATTTGGTCAGTTCAAACAAGGAAAATCTCTGGCTCTCACAGACCTGTAATGTCTTCTTTAAGAAGCTTTTCTGTCTTCCACTCATTACCTGTATTAATGGCACCTGTTTTAACTCATTATCTGTATAAAAGACACCTGTCCACAGCCTCAAACAGTCAGACTCCAAACTCCACTATGGCCAAGACCAAAGAGCTTTCGAAGGACACCAGGAAAAGAATTGTAGACCTGCACCAGACTGGGAAGAGTGAATCTACAATAGGCAAGCAGCTTGGTGTGAAAAAAAACAACTGTGGGAGCAATAATCAGAAAATGGAAGACATACAAGACCACTGATAATCTCCCTCGATCTGGGGCTCCACGCAAGATCTCATCTCGTGGGGTCAAAATGAACATGAGAACGGTGAGCAAGAATCCCAGAACCACACGGGGGGACCTGGTGAATGACCTGCAGAGAGCTGGGACCACTGTAACAAAGGTTACCATCAGTAACACACTACCACGACAGGGAATCAAATCCTGCAGTGCCAGACGTGTTCCGCTGCCGAAGCCAGTGCATGTCCAGGCCCGTCTGAAGTTTGCCAGAGAGCACATGGATGATACAGCAGAGGATTGGGAGAATGTCATGTGGTCAGATGAAACCAAAGTAGAACTTTTTGGTATAAACTCAACTCGTCGTGTTTGGAGGAAGAAGAATACTGAGTTGCATCCCAAGAACACCATACCTACTGTGAAGCATGGGGGTGGGAACATCATGCTTTGGGGCTGTTTTTCTGCTAAGGGGACAGGACGACTGATCCGTGTTAAGGACAGAATGAATGGGGCCATGTATCGTGAGATTCTGAGCCAAAACCTCCTTCCATCAGTAAGAGCTTTGAAGATGAAACGTGGCTGGGTCTTCCAACACGACAATGATCCCAAACACACCGCCCGGGCAACAAAGGAGTGGCTCCGTAAGAAGCAGTTGAAAGTCCTGGAGTGGCCTAGCCAGTCTCCAGACCTCAACCCCATAGAACACATATGTCAGAGTCAGGGCCAGATGCGGCCCGCGGAGCATTTTTATGTGGCCCGCGAGATAAATATCAAAAATATATTAAAACTGGCCCGCTGGCCGATTTTACCGCAAAGACTTCAACTCCCATGATGCTTTGCGGCATCAGAGCGGAGCCGACGAGCCCCCTCCTTTGTGTTTTTTCAGCGCCTGCTGCCGGTGTCAGCAGCTCCGCTGTCTCGGACAAACTACACTCCTCTCACTCAGCGCCGAGTTCACTCAGCTATTTTCTGACATTGAAGCCCAGAAACGGAGATTCTAGCCGCTCAGTAATGTGTTCACGACTGAAAGAGAAAGTTTTCCAACTAACGTCCAGACAGAGCCGATATAACTCCAGCGAGCAGCGACACGCTCAAACCAGCATGACTCTGTGGTTGTGTTTCCTCCCCGACACACAACAACGTGGTCAAGCTGCTCAGACATATTCATCAGCACAAACCTATGTGAGCACCTGTTGTCATCTAATGTTGTCATTATTATGATGAAGATGAACAAAACAACAGGAGTCTCCTCCTCAGCTCAGATCAACCCCATGATGCAGGTATCTGGCTGGAACAGGTGAGCATCACAGTAAATCAGTGGATCAAACTGAGTTTAAATATGTTGGTTTTATGCTCTTTTTCTGCTCCAAAACATGAAAGTTAACAGGTGAGATGTTGCATTTTCATTTAAGATAAAATGATATTTTTATTTTGTTGTTGGCCCGTGAGAAAAGATTTAACCTACAGTAAACAGGAAGTGGAAAGGTTGCAGATAGATGAATAGAATAGAAAATCCCTTTATTGTTCCTCAGTGGGGAAAGCTAGACGTCACAGCAGCGATGACACTTATTACAGGAGAAAAAAAGGAGAATAAAAAATAAGAAAAACGAATAAACAAGAAAACATAAATCCTGAATATATTTTAAAAATGCTGATTATACCACAAGTAATGAATACCACTGATGCCTTTTATTTAAAACTGACTTGCTCGTGTGTTATTTGGTTATTCCACATTCAATGTTCATGCAGAAATAAGTTTGTTTCCAAATTTAAAGGTTCAAAATGCATATATGTTGATAAAGAAAATGTGCAAATTTGCCGTCACTTTTTCAAAAATATTAAGTTTGGCCCTCGACTCCGTCCCAGAGTTTCATTTCGGCCCCGTGTGAGTTTGAGTTTGACACCCCTGCCATAGAAAGTCTGTGGAGGGAGTTGAAAGTCTGTGTTGCTCGGCAACAGCCCCAAAACATCACTGCTCTCAAGAAGATCTGCATGGAGGAATGGGCCAAAATACCAGCTACTGTGTGTGCAAACCTGGTAAAGACCTATAGTAATCGTTTGACCTCTGTTATTACCAACAAAGGTTATGTTACAAAGTATTGAGTTGAATTTTTGTTATTGACCAAATACTTATTTTCCACCCTGATTTACAAATAAATTCTTTAAAAATCCTGCCATGTGAATTCATGGATTTTTTTTCGCATTCTGTCTCTCACAGTTGAAGTGTACCTATGATGTAAATTACTGACCTCTGTCATCATTTTAATCAGAATCAGAATAGGTTTATTGCCATTGTCAGTGAACAAACAATTCACAAACTAGGAACTTGCTTTGGTACTACTGTGCTACATATAACATGAATAATAAGATTACAAATAGAATAAAATAGAATAAAACTTTCAGATATAAAAAATGGCAGGTAATGGTAACATGGCCGATAACGTGACGTTGTGTCAAGTACAGCAGACCAGCATGGTTGTGTGTTTATAATCTATTCACAAGTCTAACGGCAGATGGGAAGAAGCTGTTCTTATGGCGGGAGGTTCTGGTCCGGATGGACCGTAACCTCCTGCCTGAGGGAAGCGGCTCAAAAAGTCTATGACCCGGGTGAGAAGAGTCGGCTGCTATCCGACCTGCACGCCCCCGAGTTCTGGAGACATACAGGTCCTGGAGAGATGGAAGGCTGCAGCCAATCACCTTCTCAGCAGAGCGCACAATGTGCTGCAGTCTATGTTTGTCCCTCACTGTGGCTCCAGCGTACCACACAGCGATGGAGGAGGTGAGGATGGACTCAATGATGGCCGTGTAAAACTGCACCATCATCTGGGCCGGCAGCTTGGCCTTTTTCAACTGCCGCAGAAAGTACATCCTCTGCTGGGCCTTTTTGATCAGGGAGCAGATGGATGGCTCCCACCTAAGGTCAGGTGTGATGGTGGTTCCGAGGAAGCGGAAGGAGTCCACAGTGGTGACGGGGGTGTCCGTCAGGACGAGGGGGAGAGATGGGGCTGTGACTTTCCTGAAGTCCACAATCATCTCCACTGTCTTCTGAGCATTGAGCTCCAGGTTGTTGCTGCTGCACCAGTACACCAGCCGTTCCACCTCCCTCCTGTAGGCGGACTCATCACCGTCAGAGATGAGCCCGATGAGGGTGGTGTCGTCCGCAAACTTGATCAGTTTAACTGAGTCATGGCTCGAGGTGCAGCAGTTTAAGTGGGAGAACTTGCACAGTCGGTGGCTGACTAAATACTTTTTTGCCCCACTGTATGTGAATACAATGAGAACATAAGTAATTTAACATTCTGCGGCTTTGCAAGTTCTCCCACTTAGAAATCATGGAGGGGTCTGAAATTAACAACTTAGGCAAGGCCGGATTAATCATACGGGCAACTGGGCAATTGCCCAGGGCCCACGAACTCTAAAGGGCCCAGGGCACGAGCAAAATACTGTCTCTATAATTTCCCGCTTTATGAGGTCTATGGTGGTCCGTTTTCCCCGGACATGTCCACTTTTCACTCTCTGTCCGGGCGTCTGGACTGGGGGTTCTTGTATTGATGAAAATGTCCGGCTTTTCATCCAGAAGCAGGGATCGAATTATGGGGGAGCTGCATATCCTACACATCCAGGGGAGCCGGAAAAAAGTTTTCTACCTATATTATATCATTTTTGGACTCTTTTGAGCAGAGAGCGGCACAGCGTATTGTTGCGCAGCGATCCAGGCTGCTGCTTCCAGCGCACGGTCCATTCTCAAAGTGGCGCAACCAAAAAACTATAATTAGCACACGATCGTTCATGTCTGCACATGTTCTCTATTTTCTGTCTTATTTGTGCCTGAAGCTCTCTGCTACTGCGGAGCTCATCACCTGTGCTGTGGTGATGTCACCTCACGCAGCATCGAAAACGCGCTCTGCGCTTTGCGGTCAGGAGATCCCTTTGATCTGCTCAAAAGTAACTGCTGAGGTGAAAAAGTAAGAATCCAGGCAACAGATTTTCTGGAGAATTAAGAGGACATGCAGGAAGATGAGAGACACAGGACAGGAAAAATAAAAAACAGAAAACAAAACAAAGTGTTGAAAAGTAAAATGTATGTAGATTTATCTCCACTACACGTTTTTACCTGTATAAAACAATAAGTTATACACATGTCATATTTATACATCTGATACAATTCAGATCACCTTCAAAACTCAGTCACACACCCAGGGCCGTTTCAAGACATTTTGGGGGCCAAGGCAAGATGACCCCACCCACCCCCACCCACGCCATAACTGGGCTCCCCAGAAGCCTCTGTAATTCACACCCTCTCCAGTAGTGTTAGTTATACAGTGTTTGTAAAAGCCCCTCAGATATTACTGACATGTTCTAATATTATCAGATGAAAAACTAAATTTTCAGACACGCTGTCTCATCTGCTTCTTTTCTAAACTTGCAAAAAGTAACAAAACCATTTGAAAGCCACTATTTGTGGATTCTCTGAAAGTTTCCATGGAGTGTGTGACAACTTATTTTTTCATTGATCCTATCATCTAATCTCACAGCTGAAACAAGCATCCTTAATAATCTGTGCACAGGAAGCTTACCGATGCTGTAGTAAAACTAAAGGTATAATAATTTATTATTAATAAAATCTTGTTGCAGCACTAAAGCAGAAAAATGAGATTTTGCATTAAATATGCAAAATATTTACATATGAATTGTTTTAGAGCCCTTTTATTGGCAGAATCTGATATTAATTTAGTTCTTACAAAAAATGGGTCCCAACATGGTTTGTGTGGCGTTGCCATAGTGTGATGTCATAGGCACAGATCCCATGTCCTCTTGTTTGGAAATGGAAATATGATCACCCTACATTAAACAAACTGTCCACCCGGGATTTTGCGCTGCACAGAGACGCTTCGCTGCCTATGACTGAACGTCAGTTGAGAGTCAGTCTCATGCAGACTGACCAATGAAGAGAGGGCCTCAAGTTAAGACCCTCTCCTCATTGGTCAGTCCACACGAGGTGGGTCAAAGGTTACCCTGGGCGGGTTACGTGTTGTCAGGCATTCAAGTATTGAGTATATTTACTACATATTACAGTAAAATATTCTGTATGTGACCACATTATGGTGATCCTCGGGTCGTGATGATGGGGCCCTTGAATATTGTTGCCCAGGGTACAACAAAGTGTTAATCTGGCCCTGAACTTAGGTGCATTCCCACTGTGAGAGGCAGCATTAAAATTTCTATTTCAGAAAATCACATTGTATGGTTTTCAAGAATGTATTGGTATTGCACTGCTGCACAGAAGTATTTGAACACCTGGCAATCAGCAAGAATTCTGGCTCTCAAAAATTTATTAAAAAGTCCACATCTACTCCAATAATTTAAATTATTAGCACCTGTCCACCTCACAGTCATACTCCCAACTACTATAAGACCAAAAAGCTGTCAAAAGACACCAGACACAACACTGTGAACCTCCACAAGGCTGGAAAGGGCTATGAGGCAATTGCCAATCAGCTTGGTGCAAATAAATCAACTGTTGGAGCGATTGTTAGAAAATGGAATAGGCTTGAGACGACTGTCCGTCTCCCTCGGACGTGGGCTCAGTGCAAGATCTGACCTGGTGGGTATCACTGATGATAAGAAGGGTGAGGAATCAGCCCAGAACTACATGGGGGGAGCTGGTCATTGACATGTAGAGAGCTGGGACCACAGTTTCAAAGGTAGGTCAGTAGAACTCTGTACTGTCATTGTTTAAAATCATGCATTTCACGGAAGGCTCCCCTCGATGATCCAGATGAGGTATGGGAGAGAGTCATGTGGTCAGAAGAGACCAAAATAGAATTTTTTTTTAAACTCCTCTTGCCGTGAATGGAGGAAAAAGAAGGATGAGTTGCATCCCAACAACACCATCCCTACTGGGAAGCATGGGGGTGGAAGCTTAATGCTTTGGGGGACAGGACGACTGCGCTGTATTAGGGAGAGGATGAATGGGGCCTTTTATTGTGAGATTTTGAGCAACACACTCCTTCCCTCAGTCATAACATTGAAGATGAGTCGTAGCTGGGTCTTAAAACATGACAATGACCCAAAGCACACAGCCAGGATAACCAATGAGGAGCTTCGTAAGAAGCCTATCAAGGTTCTGGAGTGGCCTAGACCAAAATCCAATAGAAAATCCTTAGAGGGAGCTGAAACTCCACATTGCTCAGCGACAGCCCTGAAACCTGACAGATGTAAAGGAACTTTCGGCATCTTCACTTTTTTCACGTTTTTTAAAGGACCATCAGTTTACCTTTTATATCTCACCCTATCCTAAACACTTGGCTTTGTTTTATTTTGTACTAATTTCCTGTGTTTTCATTGATTGAAAACTTTATGCTGACTGTTTTTATCCTGCACTGAACCAGAAAGAAGAAAAGATTATTTGTATGATTTCCTTCTTAGGGAAACAAAGAAGTTGGTTTAACAACTTCACTGTCAGTTAAATGAATTATAAAAAGGAATAAGGGTATTTAAAAAGCAAATTGCAGGTTAAATCTTTTTTCTAATTCATATAAATTGCTGTCCAAAAAATACCATTTGGAATGCAGATTGTGGATATTTAGTTTTAAAATATATAACAGCAGAGTTTTCTAGTAAAAAGTGGCCTTTCTCAGCAAAGTTTCTAAAAAGGCTCTTTTTTCTAAATCTGAACCTCTGACGTAACCAAAGGGAGTTAGAAGCTAGGCGCTGCCTCAGCTCAGTGTGGAGAGTGGCTAGTTTTGGGGTCGAGGTCATGTTATCCAGTCAGAGTGTGTGTTTAATAGTGTTGGATTGTGTTCATGTTGATAAACTAGAGTGTGAAGGCTGTACCAACTCCAGCCTGTCTGGATATCGAGTCCCCGGGTTTCCAGATAAGAGAAACAACGCCTCCATCTCTGCGCCCAAGGACGTTTAGTGCAGCTGACAAGACGGAACCCACATCGGTCGGTACCGGGACAGGGAGGTCCGTGCTGGGCTCTGGAGACCCGTGGCGGGGTTAAAAAAAATTAAATGCGGATTTCTGGAGCTCAGATCACTGTCAGAACTAGGTCAGAACCAACCACCATGGAGCTGGTTTCTGGGTCGGAACCAGATCAGAACTGCCGCCTGGACCACCAGGAGAGGATGCACAGCCTTTAAATATACTAACTCAACTGGCTTGCTGGTACCTGGGTCAGATCAAGCTCACAGAAGCCCGCATGAGCGCCAGAACAGGATCACAGGCGTCTCTCTCCCTCCCTCTAAGTACCAAACTACAAACGGATATGAACGAGTATCAGACAAGCACCCTCTCTGCCAGTTTTTAAGAGCAGGTTGAAGACCCATTGTTACACCATGGCGTTCCACTAGCCTTCTTTTAGTCGTTCTTATCTTGTCTTTTAACTAATGTCTTTATTGCTTTAATCCATTTTGTTTTATCTTAGTCACTGCATGGTTGCTGTTGTTGTACTTTTCATATCTTTGTTGTGTGTACAGCACCTTGGTTCAACCCCCCCTCAGTCTTTGGCCGATTGTTTCTCCCTCTGGTTTGTCGCTGTTCTCTGGGGCGTGCAACAAACTCATAACTTTATGGTTTTGGTCCATCAGAAGTAGAATTATAAACATTTAAAGTTTCCTCTCTGTCAGAGTTAGAATCCATATTTTTCTCAGGATTAGACTCCCTCAACTGACGTCACTTGGTTTGGCAAAAGAAAAACCTCTCTCACAAAAATGACTCCTTAAGCCTAAATAATTCATGTATGTCTAAAAAAATTTCTCAAAACATTGGTTCATGGGAGTCTCTAACCTGCAATAGGCTCTTTAAAAAAGCATCAATAGGCTTTATCCCCAGCTTATGCTTTAAACAATAAGTATAAAATGTGAGTTGTTCTCAAACTTTTCAGCTTCTAAACCATAAAATAATGGCAACAGTGTTGTGACCCTGATTGTCATTAATAAAAATTATGCACTTACAATTATCAACAAGGACATAATGCCAACACAAGCACGGACAACAATTAATTAATCACAATTATGGCAGAAATATGGTATTAAAACAACGATTTTTTTAAACTGAATTTAATTTCTGAATATCATATCTGCTGGTCTCAACCCCAACTTTGCGAGCCACTGATCTAGAGATGCAATTTAGTGGAACTACTATCCAAACCATCAATGTCTTTTTGTCATTATTAATGTGTTTTATTTATAAAGAACAAATGAAAAAACTTCATATTATACAAATGCCGAAACCGAAGAGCAGTCAGTGTTCCGCTGAGATAATCTGAAAACAGATTACTCTGGATTTCTGTGATCAGTGATGGACAAGTTTAATTGATAAGAAAATGGGAATTGAACAAGTATTCAGCTGTTGCTACGAAAACATAGCAGCTGACAATAAAATGCGAATGAAAAATCCTTGATAAAGCAGACACAACCACCACAATACCCAAACAATAATCGCTAATTCCGCTGAAAATGAGATTTACAGGCGAAAGTGAATGCAGCGCTCGGCTCCAACAGTGACTCATTTAGCTCAACACAATATTTTAGACACTTACGTGGGGCCGTTTGGAGGGTACATGTCCGTCCGACAGTCTTCTGTGTACTGTAAAGAAATGGCAGCAAAGTTGTAAACATCCAGTCTGTAGAGTCAGCCTACAACTGTCTGAAAGTGGGACCGAGCAGAAATGGCGCTTACCGGTGGTAAAAACTGTGTTGATGCGACGAAGCAGAAAGCAGCTAAAACGAGAACCATACAGTACTCCATTATGAAAGGTACTGTCGTATGGCGTTTAAAGCGTGCCACAACCCGTGCACGCGCATTGGGTCCACAGCGCGCGTGTGAACGGGACTCGCGAGCGGAAATATACATGGCGAGAGGTCATTTGTGCACTGAGAGGGAGGCTGTGTCTCAATTCAGGGTCTGCATCCTACCTCGGCCGGATTCGTCGGCCGGTTACGTCACAGCGCCGCGACTCGGCCTGTCCCAATTCGAAGACTCCTTCAAATGCGGTCGACGAATGCGGCCTTCTTTTCGCCTGAATGAAGGATGGGTCGGGTGTATCCTTCAATAGGTAGCATTTCCCAAGATGCCTTGCGAGCCGGCCGGCAGAAAAACTTAAAAACAATGGCGGACAGTGAAGCGGGAGCTGTCGGAGAGGATTGCGCATATAAATGTAAGTATAAACTTGAAAACTGTCAGTTTAAGGACTTTTTGTGATACATGAACGTTATTTTAGTTAGAAATGTTACAGTAAAAGTGCTTGTATTGCGGTCTCGGCTCGTATGTTCGGCCGCGCTCGGTGTCGTACTTCTCCCACTACGTTTCCCCCTGATTTTAATAGAAGTTTGTATTTTAGGACCAAAAGAGAAAACCAGGGAATTTATTAAGCTTAGGGCGGAGATGGACCACATGATCACCGGAGCAAAGTATTCGGCGGCTGTGGCATGGAGGTACAATAACATCTCATATTTTAAAAACTCGTTTGAGTATATTTTTTTCTGCGAAAACATGAAAGGAATAACCCGTTGTCCTCTTTTCTCTTCCTGTTTCTTTTCTTACATGTTTGTTAAGACTATTCTGGAGAAAATGGGCATCCAGGGGAAGGTGCCAGCGATGAGCTTCTGGAGCTGATCTGGGAGGACATGAGGCTGCAGAGCAGCAGAGAGCACAGGAGAGAAGGAAGAACTTTGACAGCTTTTTACTTTGCTAGAAAAAAATGGTTAATGAAGATTAAACATGTACATGTAAAAGAAATATCTAAATAAAATCAGTTCTGCATTAAACTCTTGAATTTTATTTTTGTTTACAAATGAGAATTGTTTACTAGAGGGTATCCGCTGGGTCTTGAAAAGTCTTAAAAGGTGATAAATCGGTTTTGGTCAAAGTAAGACCCTTAGAAAGTATTAAAAACTATTATCACATCTTTGCTCAGGCTCAGCTAGTCTAAAGTATTTTCTCTGAATTAGCTCTCCAACAGTCAAGGAAATGATTAACCCCCAGAGACCCACGGTTGTAGTATTACAACATCAGATTTAAGTCTACAAAAATAAACCTTCCCCATTTTTTTTCTTTTTAAAACCACATTTACATTGCTAATAGGTCCTATTCAGTTCTGCAACACTATTGGCTGTTAAAATGTGTAAATAGGCCCGTTCATCTGGCCTCCTAGAACAACATGTGAAAGGTTAAAAAATATTTTGCAGTTGTTTTCTAAATTTGGGTTTCTGGGGGTTAAAAAGCTAAATAAAACGTCGAGCTCCATCGTTTAAGGTTCCTTCTGCCCAGCGGTTCCACGGTTGCTAGGCGACGGAACGTTCGCCGAGGGAGTTCATGAAGGCTAGGCCTGTCCAAATTCACAGCCGTTAACATCCGGTCTACCCGGCCGACGGAGGACGCAGCCCACGTCGGCCGGGTGGGCTGGGTCCTTCGAAGGATGCAGACCCTGAATTGAGACACAGCCGGAGCAAACTGTGTCTGTGAGCGCACAAGGATGTGTACAAGTGACAAACCTGCGTGCGCGCGTTGTCAACGAGCACACGGCAGAGGAAAACGTGCGCGCGCGGCAGCCTCTGTGCGCGCTCGGCAGCCTCTCTGCGCGCTCGGTTTCTGACTCCTGCTCGCTCGGCTGTAAGGGTTTTGGCACTCTGGAGGCGTGGCCTGTGGCAGATCTTCTCTGTCCTCTGATTGGTTAGCGTACCCCGCACTTTACTCTCTACCTATCTATATAAAAAAGTCTGCTAGTCAAGTAGTTGCTGGCATAGCTCAGTTGGAAGAGCGGGTGACTCTCGCCCCGGAGGATCCAGGTTTGAGGCCGGGCAAGGAAAATGCAGTAGATGTCATGTTAATTTTTCTTAATTTCAGGTATTTTACAGTTGTGACCGTTCAACTGTCATTAAACGTCCGAATGTTTGCTGGGCAGTGTTTTAAAAAGTGCACATAAGCTAGATGGTTTTAACCATATAAAATTACATTTTTTGTGATACTGGAAAAATACATACTGAAATAAAACTACTGATTGAAAACTTTATGACTGTGGTTGTACAATATATGACTCACTAATACACTGCAAACTCCCTTAGAGTGGGGCTTCCAGAGAGAGAGAGAGAGAGAGAGAGAGAGAGAGACAGAGAGAGAGAGAGAGAGAGAGAGAGAGAGAGAGAGAGAGAGAGAGAGAGAGAGAGAGAGAGAGAGAGAGACAGAGAGAGAGACAGAGAGAGAAAAGTTCTTGCCTCATTAATGAATTGTTTATTTTTTTCAGTATTTAATTGACAAATTATCCTTTCAAATAATTAATTGATGAGTTACATAATTGTCCATTTAGAATTGTTGAATGGACTGAGTCAAGTTTGGTGCACTTTATATATTTCAAAACATGTTTTTTTATTTTATTTTAATGATGCATATAAATAATTTAAATGTTAATTTAATGAAATATTTCTATTTTTTCATTACCTCACCCTTGTTTTGACAAAAACAAGACCTTGCTGGATAATATCATGGAGAAACTATTTGTTCACAGTACATGGCTCCGTAAGGATCTGTGTACCAAAGGAGGAGATACTCAGAAATCTGTCTGCAGATTGTTACAACCCAGACTGGAAGTGGCGGGCTGTAATAAGAAAGGAGACCAAACAGAGGAGTGGGGGTTCAACAACTGATTTATTTAACAAAAGTAAGGATTTACTAAAGCAAGTTAGTGAACAGAAAATGGCCATCTCAAGGTTTTACTCGGATGTCCCTCAGCAGGGTGCAGCACTGTTGAAGGTCATCTGAATGAAAGCTTGATATGCAGTTTCTTTATGAAAGTGTGTAAATATACAGTGTGGTTGCCGTACATACAGGTGCTGGCCAGTAAATTAGAATATCATCAAAAGGTTGAAAATATTTCAGTAATTCCATTCAAAACGTGAAACTTGTACATTATATTCATGCAATGCACACAGACCAATGTATTTCCAATGTTCATTACATTTAAATTTGATATTTATAGGTGACAACCAATGAAAACATCAAATCTGGTATCTCAGAAAATTAGAATATTCTAAAGGCCAATGAAAAAATGTTTGTTTCTCTAATGTTGGCCAACTGAAAAGAATGAACATGAAAAGAATGTGCATGTATAGCACTCAATACTTAGTCGGGGCTCCTTTTGCCTCAATAACTGCAGTAATGCGGCGTGGCATGGACTCGATCAGTCTGTGGCACTGCTCAGGTGTTATGAGAGCCCAGGTTGCTCTGATAGTCGTCTTCAGCTCCTCTGCATTGTTGGGTCTAGCGTATTGCATCCTCCGCTTCACAATACCCCATAGATTTTCTATGGGGTTAAGGTCAGGCGAGTTTGCTGGCCAATCAAGGACAGGGATACCATGGTCCTTGAACCAGGTGCTGGTGGTTTTGGCACTGTGTGCAGGTGCCAAGTCCTGTTGAAAGGTGAAGTCTGCATCCCCATAAAGTTGGTCAGCAGCAGGAAGCATGAAGTGCTCTAAAACTTCCTGGTAGACGGCTGCATTGACCCTGGACCTCAGGAAACAGAGTGGGCCAACACCGGCAGATGACATGGCACCCCACACCATCACTGACGGTGGAAACTTTACACTGGACCTCATGCAACGTGGATTCTGTGCTTCTCCGCTCTTCCTCCAGACTCTGGGTCCTTGATTTCCAAAGGAAATGCAGAACTTGCTTTCATCAGAAAACATAACTTTGGACCACTCAGCATCAGTCCAGTCCTTTTTGTCCTTGGCCCAGGCGAGACGCTTCTTGCGCTGTTTCTTGTTCAAGAGTGGCTTGACACACGGAATGCGACACCTGAATCCCATGTCTTTCATGAGTCTCCTCGTGGTGGTTCTTGAAGCGCTGACTCCAGCTGCAGTCCACTCTTTGTGGATCTCCCCCACATTTTTGAATGGGTTTGTCGTCACAATTCTCTGCAGGGTGCGGTTATCCCTAGAGCTTGTACACTTTTTTCTACCACATTTTTTCCGTCCCTTCGCCTGTCTGTTAATGTGCTTGGACACAGAGCTCTGCGAACAGCCAGCTTCTTTAGCAATCACCTTTTGTGTCTTGCCCTCCTTGTGCAAGGTGTCAATGATTGTCTTTTGGACAGCTGTTAAGTCAGAAGTCTTCCCCATGATTGTGGTGCCTTCAAAACAAGACTGAGGGACCTTTTAAAGGCCTTTGCAGGTGTTTTGAGTAAATCAGCTGATTAGAGTGGCAGCAGGTGTCTTCTATATTCAGCCTTTTCAGAATATTCTAATTTTTTGAGATACCAAATTTGGAGTTTTCATTAGTTGTCACTTATGAATATCAAATTTAAATGTAATGAACATTGGAAATACATTGGTCTGTGTGCATTGCATGAATATAATGTACAAGTTTCACGTTTTGAATGGAATTACTGAAATATTTTCAACCTTTTGATGATATTCTAATTTACTGGCCAGCACCTGTATGTTGAGGTTCTCAGACATCAGGCTTCTTTGCCCAGGCCTTCACTAGTGGGCTATTTTAAAAGTTGGTAAGGAGAAAAACCACAGCATATAGCTGATTGTTTACAAATGCAAGGAGGGGAATAACAATCAAAATGCTTGTGTTCTTGGACCAGATGAATGGAGCGCTCCACATGCACTCAGAGATGTTATGGCTTCTGTTTCTATAACTTTACATGCAGACATTTGAGGTTTGCCAGAAAGGAAAGCTGGCCTGTACACTTTGCAGGGCACAATGTCATCAATGAAGAAACCCCTGTCTACCAAGATGACCATCTCTAGTTGTAGCATTTTCAACACACCAGATTCCCAGGTTGGTCGCTGATAGTTCCAGCATACAGTGCTGAGACAAAGGTCACTGGCCTATGTGGCACAATCCAAATGAGCCTCTTGAGAGTGCAGTTGAACTTGAGGAAAATATATGACTCTGGAAGAGAGGGGAATATGGCCATTGACACCTCAGATCAGTGCAGTCAAGAATTACTGGTGTTTGGGTAGTCCTGAACGTGTTGTGATGCCCCCACCATCTCATTGGGTTTTCATTTGTGTTTAATTGTGTTTTTCTTCTGTTGTAGGCAGCTGGTTAAGCAACCTTGGAGGCACCTGGGCTCAGGGTGTGGTGCTGCCTACAAAGCCTACTGTTTTTCTGCTTTCACTGGGTCTCTCCTGTGTGGTGGAGAGTCCTCACTGGCCATTTTCTGTTCACTAACTTGCTTTAGTAAATCCTTACTTTTGTTAAATAAATCAGTTGTTGAACCCCCACTCCTCTGTTTGGTCTCCTTTCTTATTACAGCCCACCACTTCCAGTCTGGGTTGTAACAATCTGCAGACAGATTTCTGAGTATCTCCTCCTTCGGTACACAGATCCTCACTGAGCCATGTACTGTGAACAAATAGTTTCTCCATGATATTATCCAGCAAGGTCCCGTTTTTGTCAAAACAAGGGTGAGGTAATGAAAAAATAGAAATATTTCATTAAATTAACATTTAAATTATTTATATGCATCATTAAAATAAAAAAAAAAAACATGTTTTGAAATATATAAAGTGCACCAAACTTGACTCAGTCCATTCAACAATTCTAAATGGACAATTATGTAACTCATCAATTAATTATTTGAAAGGATAATTTGTCAATTAAATACTGAAAAAAATAAACAATTCATTAATGAGGCAAGAACTTTTCTCTCTCTGTCTGTCTCTCTCTCTCTCTCTCTCTCTCTCTCTCTCTCTCTCTCTCTCTCTCTCTCTCTCTGGAAGCCCCACTCTAAGGGAGTTTGCAGTGTATTAGTGAG